CAATGCCACAGCCATGCCCATCACGGCCCGCCTCACAGAGAAGTCCTTGAGTAAAGGCACGCAGTCACGCTCCATGTGGCAGTTCCAGGTTTTCTCAAATTTTTAATTTCCACTAGGAAGCTCAAATTTTGTCGTTGCCAACAATTCCTGTCAGCCCTTTTTCTTGGAGTGACGGGCTCACCCTGTTCGCTCTTAAGTTATTGTCTTCACAATGCCCATTTAGGAAGACCCTGTTTGCTAGTCATTCTTCTAAGTAAAAACGGTGGTTTACGGGGACGGGGGCTAGTTTAGCTTGTAACTCACGTGCCCGGGTGCTTTTCTTCCAACGCATTTCACATGCAGCAAAAATGCCTTAGGCACACTTCCGCTGGACACAAAGAATATTGAAGAGGTGTGCTCAAGGCTGGAGATTTAATGCAGTTAACAGTTTTTACTCTTCATCGAGGGCATTCTTAAATGAAACTGGCTTTTATTTATACTCTTTGGTGCCAATGCCTTGATCCATGCTGAGGTGCCAGCAGTTTTACTCACACAGCACAAAAGGAAAAACCGTGATTTAATCTAACCGCAAATATCGTTTTAGCCTCCTTCGTAGACCCCTGAAGAGTCCAGAGGACCCCAGGGTCCCGTGGACAACACTTTGAGAACCACTCAGGCCATTACACACAAGCAGGCAGATCCACAGAGACACCTGCTAGAAGTCAGCAGCGAGTTCCCGGTTTAAAAGCCTCCAGGGCCTTACTGGACGCTGAATGGAAGCAGATGGATGTGGCACAGCCCAGCCCCAAGGCCCCTGACACAAACACTCCTCAGCTTCAGGAAGTTCCCTCGCTGCTGGGCCTCGAGCCTTCTCCACGGAGAACTGCCATTCCGGGAGCATTTACACCTAACGTCTGCTGGCGCCACTTAAGGGGGTGTTTGCTCACACCAGGCCTCTGGTTCTGGAAACGAACCCGCAGGCCCACACCTCCCTGAGGCTGGAGCAGAGGGGCAGACCCCGGGGTGCCGCAGTCCACCCCGGGGGCGTACCCAGGGAGTTTGATGCTGACTTGGGTCTGAGGACCATGCCCTTGGGTTGCTATCCTACCACTGGTACCCCCAGGAGAGGGGAAGGGCAGGGTGCCATCTTTCCCCAGGCACACCTGTTGGAAGAAAGGGTTTCTATTGGGAACCGAGTGGGGTCAGAGGGCACCATGGGAAGAGGCTGGCAGTGCACACACACACACACACACACACACACACACATACACACAGCCCTGTAGACGCGGAAGGGATGGGGCTTGGCCAGGAGGACACAGGGTACCTGGAGAGTGAGTGTGGCAGGAGATGACAAGAGTCATTGATTAAAGGACAGGGTGGGAGGGACCTGGCCTCGCACTGCGCAGCTCCATGGGGTTAGAGGGTGGGGTCTGGGAGTACTGAGCAGCTCAGACGGAGCTGTCTCCTTCTCTCAAACCCAGTGAGGGCGATGGCCATGCGTGCAGGAGGAGGGGCGGAGCCGTGCAGTGAGTGACAAGCAGACAGCATGTGCCCGGGATGGGGAGGAGTCGGGAAACCCTGCCCCCACCCCCACCCCCAGGGCCTTTAGGGAGGCAGGGCAGAGTCCTGTCTGCGGGATTCTCCGCAGCTGCCGTGTATAGGGCATTCCCTGCTTGCCAGGGCTATGAATGCCGGGTATCTTCTATGTGACCTCATCTAATCCAACAACCAACAAGGCCGATATTTTTACTCCCATTTTGCAGATGAGGTAACTGAGGCACAGGAAGGTGGGGTAATTTCTTAAGATCATACTACCAAGAAGCAGCAGGGCTTAGACCTGAGCCCGGATCTGCCTGACTCCAAGGCTCATCCTTGAGCCACTAGACATTGGCCGAGGCCCAGGTCCCATATGCTCTGCCCAGGGCCCGGCTTGTTGGGAATTTGTGCCAGACAGCCACGGGTCTCCTTGCAAACGCAGGGAGAAGGCAAACCCAGCACCCCTGCCATGATGCCGTGGGCCCTGGTCAGTGGCTCTGGCTGGGTCCAACCTTCCCTAGCAATGCTCACTGTGCCCCCAGCACTGGCCAGGCTTCCCAGCACTTATAGAGCTACTGCCCATCGCGGACTGCCTCCTTGCGTTTCGCTGGCCAGGGAGGGGCACAGAACCGCCTGCAGCCAGCGGAGGGCACTGATCACATCTTCAGAGTGCAGGCCGGCTCTGGCGCCGCAGCACTTAAGGTCCTGGCACGGGCTCTGAAAAGCCCTGAGCAGATGGCTTCAGTCGAGGACCATTCTAGTGCCATGACTATCTGGGGGGACAGGGGTGGGGCTGAGGGAGCACCCTACACTCCACCAAGTGTTTACTGAGCTTATTGTACCAGATCCGTCCTAGGAGCCGGGAGGACAGCAGCCCTCCTGATCTCAGAAACGTGGACTAGGGGAGAAGGACAATACGAACACGTGAACTAGGCGTTTCCGAGAGGAAGTAGAACAGCACTTCCCAGGAAAATAAAGGGGGAAAGGAGAGAGAATAAGTCTCATGAAGACCACAAGGTGGTAAGACCTTAAGGTCAAGAAGCCGAGGGGCCATGAGATGGAGCGAGTAGAGTGGAAAGGAGGTGGTGTGTGCTGGAGACTTGAAGAGATGTGTGGGCTCTTGTTGGCCGCGATGAGGGCTGGCTCTCCATCCCGGAAGCGCAGGGGCCATGGGAGAAGCTGAGGCAGGAAAGGGACATGATCTGGCTCTCGCTTTGGAAATGTTAGTCTGGAAGAACAGAGACTGGACAGCAGGGCTGGTTGTCTGCCTTCCCGTGGTCACGCGCATCGTCGGATGGAGACATGTGCGCCTCCGTATATATGTTACATTCAGAGTGCCTTGCACACCAGTTGCCAGGCTGCTCTGAGGGCTCTCCCAGAGACTCCAATTTAACCTTCATAATCACTCCAGGGTGCTGACTCTTATAAGCCCCACTTTATAGACGAGGAAACACAAGCTCAGAGAGGTAAGTAGCTTGCCCAAACTCACACAGCTATGAGCTAGTGGGGCCAGGATGTGAGCCTCAGCTGCCTGTGCTGTCAGCCCAGGCCCCGGTGGAAATGCTGGCCCACAGTGAGGACCCTGGAAGGCGCCTGCCCGCCCTCTCAATCACCAGCCAGCAGGTCCAGGCGTTTTGTGGGGGCACCTGTTAGCTCCGCAAAGCTCTAACAGGACAGGGAACATTCTTTACAGAGATCTATGTGGATGTTCATGCGAGGCAGACCTGTCCTCCTGCTGGGGCTGACACAGCATTTTTTTTTTTTTAATTCTCAACCCAGGATATTTTTCCCATTGGTTTTTTGAGAGAGTGGAAGGGAGGGGGAGAGACAGAGAGAGAAACATTGATATGAAAGAGACACATCGATTGGTTGCCTCCCACATGCCCCCACCCAGGACCAGGAAGCTGCAACCTAGGTATGTGCCCTTGACTGGAATCGAACCCAGAACCCTTCAGTCTACAGGCCAATGCTCTGTCCACTGAGCCAAAACAACTTGGGCTGACACAGCATTTAAATGCCGGTTGCCCTAGCTGGTTAGGCTTAGTGGATAGAGCTTCGACCTGCGGACTGAAGGGTCCCAGGTTCCATTGTGGTTAAGGGCACATGCCCAGGTTGCGGGCTTGATCTCCAGTAGGGGGCAAGCAGAAGGCAGCCGATCAATGATTCTCATCACTGATGTTTCTAGCTCTTTCTCCTCCTCCCTTCCTCTCTGAAATCGATAAAAATATACTTTAAAAAATAAATAGATACATGCAGGTCAACACGGAAGTTAACCCACTGGAAGTGCTCCCTGCTAGTTCTAGGGCGAACATGAATGCTGCCTTGGGAAAGCATCCCGGGGCCCTGGGCTGCAGGCTGCAGGCAGCTGTGGAGTCTCCCTACAAAGAGGGCTTTCCCACAACCACATCTGCATTTCGGAAGTGGAACCTTTGATTTCGCGTTTCCTGAGCTGCCGGGCCAGGTGGCCAGGGACATTCTGCTCTTAGAGCCGCCCCCTCGCAACCCCTGCCCCCTGGGCGCACTGGGGTTCTCATCTCACAGAGCACTTTCCCTGCTGCCCAGAGCACACGGGACACCATGGCAAGAAAAGCAGAATCACTCCGAGGACCTCACCATGGGGTCCGAGGCTTCGGGAACCCGCCGTGTCACCCGTGGGTGTGGGAGATGATACGGGAAGGGACGCTTAGGCTGAGACCCAAGCATCTTGTGGGGGGTGGTAACTAGGCGAGGGGCAGCCAAGGGGCTGGACCTGCCCCGCCAGGAGCTGGGGCGTCTGGGGAGGAGGAAAGTCAGTGGAGTCAGAAGCAGAGGTCCAGGGGGCGTTGGCTGTAGACCAACTGGAGGGGGAGACAGGACTGCGTGGCTCACGTCATGGGCTCACTCGGCCCAGTTGTTGGGGCAAACACGCGGGAGGGCGCTTCGCAGATCCGGTCAGCATCTAAGTCAGCGGGCTTTCTGAGTAGCAGAGGTCACCCAGCTGGTGTGGAGGTGGAACGCATGATCCTAGGAGGCCTTGGGAACAAAATGCTAGGGGTTCCTGCAGAAGTGAGCACCCTGCCTCAACACTAACGTAGAAATCCCACCTGAGTTTCCAGCTTGCCGCCTGCCCCACAGAGCTCGGACTCTCCCCTCCACAGTGGCCTGAGCAGTTCCTTAGGTTAATATATGCTCTAGACCAGCGGTTCTCAACCTGTGGGTCGCGACCCCTTTGGGGGTCCAACGACCCTTTCACAGGGGTCGCCTAAGACCATCAAAAACACACATATAATTACATATTGTTTTTGTGATTAACCACTATGCTTTAATTATGTTCAACTTGTAACAATGAAATTGGGGGTCACCACAACATGAGGAACTGTATTAAAGGGTTGCGGCATTAGGAAGGTTGAGAACCACTGATCGAGACAGATAGACCGACAGACGGACAGCTCTTCTCTAACAAGCAGTGGAATCCAGGAAAGGACTGTAAGCAGGAAGAGAGGCTGATCCAATCAGCACCAGCACCAGTCTGAGCCCGGCTGGAACCCAGGGGCACCGGCACCAGCACGATGAGCCCAAAGGCTCCAGAAGTGTGGGTCATGGTGCCCATTCTCCAGGGCCCTACACTCCCCTCCCACCTCAGGTGAGGATGTTGACGAGAGGCCATACAGGACTGTGGTACGAGTGCAATAAGCCACTTGCATGCTGTGTGGCCTTGGGCAAGTGTTTAACATCTCTGCGCTTCTGTTTCCTCAGCTGTGAACCCCTGCCTTGTAGGTGTGGTGAGGGCTGGGTACAGGTGGGTGTTTGTTTATCAGCATCTGCTGTGTGTCGCTCTGTACACAGCCTTGGGGAGACTCTGCACCAGACCGTCTTCGACAAGAGCCCGCCACTGGGGAGCCTAGCAGTCCAGTGGGGGAGAGGTCATTGGTGGAATAATCACACTAACAGATATTAAATGGCAAATGTGGTGTGTGCCTTGAAGGGGGGCGGGGAGCTGTGAGAGAGTAAACTAGGGGCCCCCCAGTCTGGAAGTCAGGGCCGGATGGCGCCTCTGGGGGAATGACAGTGTGTGGTGCCCATTGCCCGTGTCACTCTGCTCCTTTTTTAGGTACCTGGAAGGCAACCACCTCACGGCCGTGCCCAGGGAGCTGTCCGCCCTCCGACACCTGACACTTATGTAAGAGCCGCTTCTCTCCTGGGGGAACTGAGGAATTCGGGGAGTAGGAGGCCAGCGCTGCAGGCTCCCCGGGTGGGGCAGGGACAGACAGCTGGCAGGGCTGGACCAGCCCGAGGGCTCAGCCTGCCCCAGTGAGAACCACGTGCAGAAATACCCGGCGCCTGCATTGCCGATCATTGCGTCACCTGCCTCCTCGGCTTGGGGTCCCCGTTAAATTCCTGAGATCCCTCCGTCTCCGGTTTCCCGCCAGCTGTGGCTGCACTTAGATTTGCCCAAAGCATAAATGGGCATTTCTTCTTCCTCCTCCTTTAGTTGCTCAGAAAACGTTCTAAGTAGAAGGTTCTAATTGAGGCTCCTTTGGGTGGTAGCTGCTACGGGCTCTGTGTCTGCAGAGACCCAGGAAACCCCTCAGATGAGGAGCGGGCTGCTGGGCATGGGTGTGGCCTGGGGAGCCGGCTGGTCTCCGAGCCTCGTCCCTCCGCAGCTTCCCTGCCTCGCCAAGAAGGGGCCTGAAGGGGGCAGGGAGCCCGTCCACAGAGGAAGGAGAGTTCTTTCAGAAAGTGTCACCCTTGGGAAACGGGGCACTGAAGAAAGGCGGAAGGAAGCGCCCTGTCCCCTTGTTCAGCCTGGCTTCCCACCTGAGCCCGAAATCAGTCTAAG